GAGGAAGAAGAAGAGAAGGAGGAAGAAGAAGAGGAAGGAGGAAGAGGATGAGGATGAGGAGGAAGAGGACCTACATACCAGGTTCTCCAGCAGCACTGCCTGGTACGTGATCTTCGCTGTCGCCTGGAGCCCCCTGTGAGCAAAAGGGCAGACAAGCGTCAGTCCCGCGGGCAGAGCAGGACCCGGCTGCCAGCACCCAGTGCCCGGGGCACCCCCTCCCCTGGGGACGGGCAGCCCAGGCGGAGCCACGGGTGAGGGGGGACCCTGGGGACAGAGGAACACACAGGGGAGGTGACAGCCAGACAGCTGTGCGCAGCCCTCTGAGCCACCCTGCACAGGTCTCTTCCTGCCAGCACTGTGCCTCAGTTTCCCCATCTGTGACACCAACAGCTGCCAAACCCATTTATCGTGTGCCAGAAGGACCGAGGGGGTCCTAACGCTGCAGGGGCTGCGGATAAACACTGACAAAGGGGGTGGGGACACCGGTGTCGTGCTGACAACCAGCTGCTCTGGCTAATTTGTCATGAGGGTCCTAAAGATCTTGGCCGAGGCCACTGTCAGGGGACCCACGGAAGAGCTCAGCCCCTGAGGAAGGGCTGGGTCTGACTCCAACCCTCCCTGGAAACACATGGCCCAGCCCCAGTTGGCCCCAGTTGGCCCCAGTTGGCCTCTGCACAGTGTGAGCTCCACACCAGCCCAGCAAATGTGACGTGTTGTGTGAGGGGCCACCCCAGGGCAGCCCCTGGCTGTCACAGCCCGGCAGGGGACCAGGCAGGGGACAAGGCTCAGAGCCGCAGCTCTTGCCCAGCCCGTACCGCAGCAGCGCTCCCAGCAACTTGGTGACATTGTCCGAGGACTGGATCACGATCACGGGCTTGGCAAGAAGCTGGGAAACGTCCAGCTGCACCGGAGAGGAAACAACAGCCGTCAGCAGGGCATGAGCCCGGCTCGGGGACCCGCGGCCGGGACTGTCCTACCTCCCGGATGGCGTTTGGATTCAGCGCCAGGATGAGCAGGGCTGATGCCCCCAGCACCAGGGCTCGTCTCATCTGCGGAGACAGGAGGGCACAGGCTTGGCGGGCAGG